TTTGAAACTGCTTAAAATTTTCAATCCTTCCATAACAAGATTTTCACTAGATTCCAATGTAAAATTCAGATTATCAATTATGATAATGCAATAGAATATTTCAAATCTATCCATGGACCATACCTTACAAAGAATGATATCATCTATGTCAGTTCCTATGTTGAAACTCTAACAAAATGAAATGGCTTGGATAAACAATATACAACTCCTTGAGATATATAGTTTTATGATGCTTTCTCCAAATGTCTGAAAAATTTTATCGGGAAATGTCGCGTTCACAACCACCTACCACATTAATAGAATGCCAAGCAGAGTCCTTAGATCAAAGCCCCTCTCGATATTGTGATGGAAAAAAACCCTCATGTAAGAACATTCTCATCCAATCTTCCTCTAAAAGTATTTGGATCTCTTTTGTTCAAATTCACCAACCAAATCATATAAAATTTGACCCAAAGTCCATTGCATGTATCTTTCTTGGGTATGCTTCTAACAAAAAAAAGAAACAAATGTTATTCTCTCATTACATGAAAAGATTATAACTTCATGGATGTTACCTCTTTGATACATCAACTTAATATCTAGAATGCGTTTTTGAATGAAGACATTGTTGAAGAAGTGTATATGGGAATACCAATAGTACTGGAAAATGACTCAAAAAAACATCTGGTTTGTAAACTAAGTCACTTTATATCCCCAAATAATCTCCAAAGACTTGGTTTGATAAGTTTGTATAGATGATGGAATTGATAGGTATATCTAATGCCAAACGGATCATACGTCATTCATAAAATATACTCGAGGATTTAAGAAGGCTATACTTACTATCTATGAAGAAGAAATGATCCTAACAAGTAATGATGAAAAAGATATTAGAAAGATTAAGTTCTTGTCATTAAGTTTAAAATTAAGGATATAAGGGTGATGAGATACCTTTTGGGCACGGAAATGGGTAGGTCCAAGTTGGGTACTATGATATCTCAAAGAAAGTACATCATAGACCTACTAAAAGAGACAGGGTTACTAGGATGTTTGGATTTCAACAAAAAATTACATGCAGGAGAAGAGACACTAGTGGAAAATGATAGATATCAGACACTAGTGGATAAGCTCATTTGTTTATCATACACTTGATCTGATATTGTTTACTATATCGGCATTGTGAGTTAACATATGAATAGTTCGAATGAAGAGCATTTGGAGATGGTTTACAGAATATTGATGTTTCTTAAAAAAACCCTGGTAGAGGGTCATTCTTCAAGAAATCAGACAACAAACAGGTAGAGGTCTACATTGATGCTATTTGACAACGAGAACTCATGGACATAAGGTTCACTTTTGGGTTTTGTTCCTATGTCTTGAGAAATCTTGTCACTTGGAGGAGCAAGAAGCAAGCAACAGTCTCTCAAAATAGTGCAGAATCTGAGTATCGAGCATTTTCTTTGAGAATTTGTGAAGGAATGTAGATCTAAAGGTTGCTAAATGAGTTGAGATGCTCTACTATCAACCCATAAAGATTTTTTTATGATAGCAAAGACGCAACTAGTATTGCAAACAATCCAGTGTATCATGACAACACTAAGCACATTAAGATCAATAGATTTTATCTCTGAAAAGGTCGATGAAGGCATTATTCTCTTAATCTACGTTTCAATTCATCTTCAAGTTGTCGATGTCTTCACTAAATCTCTACCTCCAGGTAGTTCAATGATCTGAATACCAAGTTGAATTTTTACATCTATGACCCAACCAGAGGGAGAGTATGGAATTCTCAGCTTCTTGTTTTAATTTTATTCCCTCCTTATTATATTATACTACTTTCCTTCTTAAATTATGTTTTCCTTTGTAAGTTGTAATTATTATAATTATTTGTGTCCTAACCATTCCTTATTATATAAGGAGAACAGTTGTAATTTGATTATTGAGAAATAAGAGAATAAAATTTTCTCCACCTCTCTTCAAGTATTATTAAAAGTAGAAGGATAAAAGAATTTTCAATTATAGTGAAAACATGTTTAAAATCATCACAGAGCCTACATAGTTTTAGGTTGGTTATAAATATGGTTACAAAAAAATATTTAGGTCTCTTTATGTATGATTTTTTGCAAGTGATGGTCTAATGAATTAGTAATTTGAAAAAATAAATTAAAATTTAAAACACTAGAAAAAATGTAAAGCCAAAGAGCCTAGGGTTAGAAAAATAAAGATAAGAAATATAATACATAATTTTAATGATGCGATATATTGGTACCTAAGTACATTAGGTTTAAGTATTTTGGATCTACCATATAAAAATAACAGCAACAACAGGCCTTTATCCCACTAAATGGGTCGGTACATAAATCCTTTTCCTCCATTGTGTCCTATTGAGTGTCATATTTTCATTTAAATCTATTAGAATTAAGATCATTTTTTTATATAATATGCTTGAGTCTTTATAGGTCTCCCTCTGCCTCTCTTAACATAAGTCGAATCTAAAACATCTACTCTTCTAACCGCGGATCATCAGATGGTCGACGTTTAATGTGAGGAAACTATCTAAGACAACTCTCTCTAATCTTGTCTGCCACTGTAGTTACACCAACCCTATCACAGATATATTCATTTTGCTTTTAGTCTCTAAGTGTCAAGCCACTCATCCACCTTAGCATTCTAATCTCAGCAACACTTTTGTTTTATGCTTCGCTTTTAAAGGTCAACAATCTACGCCATAGAGCATTGCAGGTCTCGTCACCGTCTTATAACATTTTCCTTCAAGTCTAAGCCGTAATTTTCAATCACACAATAGGCCCGATGCATTCCTCCATTTCAATCAACAAACTTGAATTCTACTAATAACATCCCCATCCATATCACCATCACTTTAGACAATAGACCCGAGATATCTAAAAATTTCACATTTTTTAATGATTTGATCACCCATAGTTACAACTCTACCACTAGAGCTGCTACTAATAAAATTAAATTCTATGTATTCAATTTTAGATCTACTGAAACTATAATGATATAAGAGATATTACAAGAAAAAAAAATTATTGTGCAAAAAAATAAAAACTTTTAAGCCACCCAGATGATAAAATATAGAGAAAATTATTGTGCAAAAAAATAAAAAAAAAACTTTTAAGCCACCCAGATGATAAAATATAGAGGCATTTAAGAGATATTATATGAAAAGAGGGTATCATTAAGAATAAAAGATAAACTTTATAAAACCGCAATAAGGTTGATTTTCTATAGATTTGAGTATTGGGCGGTAAGAAAAACATTTGTAGCAGAGTGTTGTAACAAATGATAACACTAAGATAAATTTATATCAAAACTATGCAGTATAAACTAAGAACTATTACATTAGAGAAAATGTTGATTTAATGTCTTTTGAAGATAAAACAATTGAATATAAATTTTGGTGATTTAAACGTGTACAACAAATGATCGATATTGTGCCCATTAGAAGGGGGAATAAATTACTGTGGAACGATTAGGAAGAAGGAGTAGATCAAGGTATCAAAGATGGAAGTTGATTAAACTAGCAAATAGGTTGATCACTTCAGGCAACATTTAATGGAAATAAATAAAAATGATGATTCATAAATCAAAAATAAATAGCAAATAGCATTGACGAAGATAATGTATATAATAATTGCAATTTATTGATGAACAATCTCATTCACAGATTTCTAACGTGAATACCAATCCCTGGGACCAAGTTATCATGCTGCAACAGACCAATTTTTCTACACGTCCTAAGGTTCATTTCCGAGCAACCTGACATTGCTAACTGTAAAGCATTTCCGAACCGCCCAAAATATTTTTGATGTTAAAAAACAGTTTGATATCAAAAGACTGCACCCAATAAATAACCTTATTGAGGCATTACGGAACTCAAATTTAATTTCTCATTTATTTTTCAGTTTAGATTTCATATAAGGAATAACTTTTGAATTTTTGCATTTCACAAGCAACATGTATAAATATAATATTACAAAAACAGGCAGTCGATCATTGATCCATCTCATCATTCCCAGTATTGGACATCATGTAAATCTAAAAAGCAGACAATTACACTAGAAAAAAAACAAGGGGCATTTACCTGCATGCCACCCAAATCCTATGTATTTACATAGGTCCACCTAAACTTCATTTTTAACATTTCTACCGCCCAAATCATTCATATCTCATAAAAAAATACCATCATTTTAACATTTGAAAAGTGAAATACACATTTTTTCATGCATAGGTAAGGTGGCACATATTTAAATATTGAAGTTTAGTTGTTTGATATGTAAATACATAGGAATGGAGAGGTATGTAAATCTTCCAAAACCTTTAGTAAGACTGGATTTAGAAAAAGCTTTCTCAGTTATTCACTAACCTGGAGAGCATAACCAACCATCTTTGAGAATTTAGTAAGACTGGACTTAGAAAAAGCTTTCTCAGTTATTTACTAACCTGGAGAGCATAACCAACCATCTTTGAGAAAGAAGTGATGGTGACATGTTTTCCTTCTCGTTCAATCTGTTTATAAATGATATGTTAGCATGCCCAAAAGTCAATGCAATAATGTGATTATTTGTAAATTAGCTATAACTAAAACAAACCTTAGCTTTTCCAATTGGTAAGCAAAAATTTGAATCAAGAACATCTGCTGAAACTGGAAAAGACTCTCCATATCTAAAAAAAAATTAAATTTGCTCATGCTCATTTCAGCAAAGGTCAAAGAGATTTTCCTTTAAGAAATTGAAACTACATACAGAAGTTCATTTTCAAGGAAAACAACAGGATCGGGATCTCTTATAGCAGCTTTCAGCAATCCTCTAGCATCTTCTGATGAATAGGGGGTCAGCACTTTCAAACCAGGGCAGGAAGCATACCAAGCAGAATAGCACTGCAATAAATCAGAAGGATCCCATATAAATCATTTATTTACCGCTTAATAATTCAAAAGCTTCTGACAATTTGGATCTCTGGAGATATAAGAGTTCCTAAGTAGCTTCTAAACTTCCTCCCTCACCTCTAAACTCTAAGCCTAGGAACACTAGAAGCTTGCTATGTAAAAGCCTTATAACAATGAAAATCTCTCTCCTTCCTCTACAATGGATTCATGTTCAATTTGTACTGCCTTTTAGGTTGGTTTGATTATCTAAATTAAGCTGCTCCCCTTTATTGGAAGTAGCTTAGCTCAATGACTTTCATATTTAAACTTTAAAGACAACATCTGTGTGCCTAGAGCCAAAGGGTTGACCAAAATGGCTTTCACGCCTATGACAACAATGACCTTATATTAAAATAAAATAAGTATGATGCAATTAACAGATTGCTTTGGCTTTAACATCAGGTGTGAGCACACTCTTCCTATTCACGTGAAAGCTCC